CAATTTTTTGAAAAAACTAAAGAAGTGTATGGATTCATGTGTTTAATTTTAATTTTTTAAAAAGTACATTTTTGGCCTTTAGAACTATAAATACAATTATTGGTGAAGAGGCTAAGCTGTTGTAAAAATAAGACAATATAATTTTATTCATTTTAGCAATAAATCTATATTTACATTTATACATATCTAACTTATCATTTCAACATTAAGAATCCATTCTAATGCTATAAGTAAGAAACATCAATACTGTCTTTTTTTCCTCTTTCTTTCTATGTCTTGAAGTTAATTGAGCTTTGATTTTACACACAATTAATTACAAAATGAATAAAAGATAACTTCCAAATGTTTGTCCTGATATCACATCCATAAAACAAAAAATAATAAAAAAAACAATTAAAGAGAACATGTATGTATATATTCATACAAAACATCAACAATCAACAAAACAATGTACAAGTTTAGGAAATGCAGTACTTACTGTGCAATGTATTTCAAACCAACCAAATTTGAAGTACTCTCTCAAAACATTTCAAAAAGTTCTAAACATTTCTTTTAAAGGTTTAAAGGACAAACTTTGAGTGTTATTTTTAAAAAAACAAATTTTAAATTTCAATTTAGAACATGCACACAAATAGAAATACACAAAAAAATGTATAAAGAACTTTTAATTAATTATATATTGAGTTGTAAAAATATCTAAGATTTGTTTTTGCATTATTTTTCAAAAGATCTGTAAATTTCAATATGAATTTAGCTAATTCAACTTTATGAAAGAGATTCATTAATTTGATAATTATAAAAATCTAAACACCAAGTGGGATATGATATCAAATGTGAATTTCAAAAAAATACAAATATACATATTTCTAAAATAATACAAAACTCACCTACATAGTATATATGATTTAAGATTTTTTGTCCAATTCTCATACATCTCTATATTCATACATACATCCCTTCCATATGTGTGTATATATATGGGAATGTTAAATAGATCCAAGTTTTTACTAAATCAATCTACCCATCATGAAAAAAATAAAAAATAAAAAGTAAAAAATCACCTCCACATTCATTTCTCCACTATTGGATCTGCAACCAATAAAAACCAACCACATTCATCATGGTTATCATATTCTTCATCAAGAGTGGGTCTATTTAGTAAAAACATGGGTCTATTTAACATTCTCGTATATATATATATATATATGCAAAAGAAACAAATAGAGCATTACCTTATTGACCAAGAATTTCCACAATCAAAGTTCTAGATGTATGTGGACCACAAATTTACAAGTTTGATATTTATAAGAAGATCATGCAACAAAATTAAACAACTTAATAAAAGACTGCACATAGCCTTTGAAAAGTCATACAACATCATAAAAAAATTATTTATTTCTATAATCTAATTTCTTTGGGCCAACCAGGTCCCAAAATCCTCCTGAAACCACGTAGAAACGATCGACCCACCCAAACTATGCCACGTGTCAGTCCCTCCTTTTCATCTATTACATCCGTTGCAAATCATAAAAGTTTTATCATCCACACGCCATTATTCTATCGGGTAGCGGTCATTCATCCAGCGTGAAGGGGTAACTAACTCCCCTAATTCCGTGCATGTCTGATGCCTTCCACGATCTCCCTGATCATGGTGGTCTTTTACTTTACCAGAAGGAGATGAATGACAATATGTTGAGATGAATGAACGAAATCTTCCTTACCATGGTGCACTTCCCCTGTTTCGTCCTCCCCCTCGCAGCACCGTCAATCTCTGCGATTTTGCGGCGAATTTGATCGATGCAGAGGTGGGTCTCACCTTGTACCCGACGCTAAGTGCCCGAATTAGATGATGTCTCCGCATTCGACGTGTTCGCACTGGGAAGATACATTTCATGGCGCGACAGAAGTATAAATTTTATTTCCGATACGAAGCTTTCACAGCAAAATTCCTGTGAACCGTGTTTTTGATCACGTTTTCATGCTCTTGGGGCTTGGATTTGGAGCATGGTGTGTGCGCGCTGTGACGAGAGATCGAAGTTAAGACATGGGTTCCGGAAGCTTTTTGAGTGCAGCGCTCCTCTTGGCGTTGATGTGTGTTGTTTCAGGTGATCGTATACACTCTGATTCTCCGACGAGTTCGCGGTTTCCGCAAGGGCAAGCTGAGCGGTTGATCAAGGCGTTGAACTTGGTTCCGGGTGCTTCAGATGGACCTGGTGTGGACGAGATGCTCGGTGGAGCTAGGTTGCAGGAGAGGAGGATTAATTTGAACATCGAAGGGGATGCTGGGATTAGTACCGAGGAGCTTGGACAGTATGCTGGATACTTCAAGCTGGCGAGGACGCATGCTGCAAAGTAAGGCTGTTGATTCTTTATTTTATTTTAAATTTTGGTTTGTGTCAATTGTTAAGATTGCATTTTGCCTTCGTTGACCTGCTACGGATATCATTGGAATGGTATGACATAGATGTAAAATCATATCTTGAGGTTGTGATTTGCCTGTAGTTGCTTTTTATGGGAACTGTACTGACCGAGATGGAGTTCGTTTTCTGAATGCATGTTATGGTCTTGCAATCACTGAACACATAATGGGCTTTGTTTAGTTTTTTGATTTTTTCTAACCACTCCTTCGTCTTCACGTTTGTGTCCCAGCTTGGTTTTATTCTGGTTATTGTCCTGGATTAGGTCAATCATTTTTTACCCTATTGTTCTCAGCATTGAATATGCATGACAAGAAGTATTGAATCATGCATTGACGTTGTCCTTTTCCTGTCGTTGCTCATGATTGATACTGTGTAACATTATATGGACTTTTTTTTCTTGGTACGTATCACTGACTGGATGGTGGGTTCGAACAAACTTCAGCATGTTCTACTTCTTTTTCGAGTCGCGGGGGAACAAGACAGACGACCCTGTAGTGCTGTGGATGACCGGCGGTCCAGGCTGTGCAAGTGAGCTTGCTTTGTTTTACGAGAATGGTCCGTTCAAGATCACCGACAATCTTACGCTTGTCTGGAATGATTTTGGATGGGACAAAGTGTCGAGCATTATCTTTGTGGATCAACCTGTAGGAACTGGCTTTAGCTACAGCACTGATATTCGTGATATTCGTCACGACGAGGAGGGAGTGGGTGAAGACATGTATGACTTCTTTCAGGTTCGAGGCTCCTTTAATACTTTTCTGGGCTACGTGTCAATTCAACATCATTTACTTACAAATGACTGACGAGGTTCGTGTCTAGGTTTTGATTTGATATGGTTATGCATGTCTTGTGCAGGCTTTCTTTGCTGCACACCCTGAATATGCGAAGAACAAGTTTTTTGTTACTGGGGAGTCTTATGCAGGCCACTACGTCCCTGCTGTTGCTGGACGTTTCCACAAGGCGCTGAAGAACAAGGAAGGTGTTCCCATCAACTTGAAGGTACCAAACATTCGCTTCTTGCAATTCAAAATCAAGTTTAATTCTTTCTGTCTTGAGGTCTTACGTCGTTTATGCTGCTTTCTTGTGCAGGGATTCGCAATTGGAAACGGTCTTACTCAACCTGACATTCAGTATGAAGCGTATGCTGACTACGCCCTGGATATGAATCTTATTACGGAGGATGATTACAACAAGATGAGCAAATTGTATCCAGCTTGTGCCGCATCAATCAAACTCTGTGGTAAGGCTAAATTCAGAAAAAAGCTTGGAAATCATGTGTATGGGGTGGGTTGAGCAGCTTATTGCGAATTTTTTGTTTACTTTAGGAAGACATTGTCATTTCTTGATTACTTCTATTCTAGTTTAAAATCATAACTTATCTCAAAGATAAGTGCATTGGACCTCCTAGTCGAGGACCTGACGAGGACCAGGAAACTTTTTTTAATTAAAATTTGCAGGTCCAAAAGGAACAATTGGTTGCCTTGCTGCTTACTTAGTCTGCCAGAGTATTTTCAACTCTATCTTGGCAGTTGCTGGAAACATCAATGTAAAGCTTCCTATCGTTTACTACTTGTGTTTCTTGTAATTCAGTTCTTTTTATTTATTTTATTTCAAAGGAGCATTGTATTTCAACTCTACTTAATGAGTTTGAGGTCTTATTGATGAGTTGAATCAACCGTGAAGTTAATGGCAATTCGTTGATTTCTTGCAGTACTACGATGTGAGGAAGGAGTGCCAAGGCTCTCTTTGTTATGACTTCTCTAATCTGGACAACTTCTTGAACAACGCCTCAACGCGAGAGGCCTTAGGCGTTGGAAACCGGAAGTTTGTGTCATGTAGTCCTTTGGTGTATGAAGCCATGATTGTGGATTGGATGAAGAACCTTGAGAAGGGGATTCCGGAGCTTTTGGAGGACGGAATTGAGCTTCTTGTCTATGCGGGAGAATATGACCTGATTTGCAATTGGTTGGGTTAGTATCATGACATTCCGACACCCAGTTGTTTGAACGATTGCTTCTTGCTCTAGTCAAGGTTTAGTTCGATAAATCAGCAACCCACCTAAGGATGTAGCATGATTATATTTTGTTCTTTTTGAGGACTAGAGTAGGTTTTCCGGTTCTGAGCATGTATTGGATTCCTTTTACCCGGTTGCAGGGAATTCTCGGGGGGTAACTGCTATGGCCTGGTCAGGTCAAGTAGAGTATCCCAAGGCCGATTGGAAAAATTTTGAATTTGATGGCGCAGAACCCGGTTTCACAACGGGCTATGGACCTCTGCAATTCCCCAAGGTATCCTTCCCTGTGTCCATCTGATTTAGAATAGGGGCTTTGAAGGGGCTTGACTCGTAACCATTGAAAGCTTTTACTAACCTTTGGATTTTCCGTTGATTACAATTTTTACACCTACTTCAAAGGGGGTTCCCCCCCCCCCCCCCCCCCTTTGTTTTTCCTTTTTTCTTTTTCCTTCATTTTTTTTAACCTCATTTTACAACGATCTGCAACCTACGACAATAATTGCCCTGAGAAATTCCTACCTGGGTTAGCACTGTGGGTTCTTGTGATCCTGCTGATTATGTGGATGGATCCTCTTCTTATATTCAACTTCCAGGATTGTTCCAAATAAGTTGCTGATGTTCTTGAATGGTGTGCCATACTAGGTACATGATGCCGGTCACATGGTACCCATGGACCAACCCAAGAACTCGCTTGAAATGCTGTACCGCTGGACCAGAGGAAAGCCACTTGGTGATAAAGCCTCCAATGTAACTATACTGAAGAAAATTCCCAGTAAAGGAAATTTGTACACAAATTCAGCTTGAACCACTGTCACTTGCTGTAGGGATCGCTACACTGACTTATAAGATGTAGAATTCATGTATAGGTACTTGTTCAATTTTCTGGATCCTGTATTAAGACCTACTGAACTATATTTCTTAATATTCAGTAGTTTTTTATTCATATCTTTCTGTTCATTATTGTATCATAAATGCACAAGCCAATTCTTAAGTGCCAGAGTGAATGCTTTTCATTTTCTTGAAAATGGCTATGCATGCAAAAGAAAAGCCCATTATTGTATTCCCTCACATGTGAATCGCAACCAAAATGCAAGCATTTGTGACATTTCATTGTTGGTTGGCAGGTAATGCCGGTAAGTTATGTAGTGGCCAGTTGATTTGCCAAGCAATATGTATTATTTTGGGCTTTCTTATGTCTTGTCTAGTTGACAAGAAATCATAACCATGTTTGAAGAAATGTGGCAATAAGATTACAGGAAATTCAAAATCTGCAAATATAAAGCTCTCTTGTGTATTAAAATTTTAAACATGATGCAAAAAGTAGTTTGCTATTTTGTAAATAATTCTGATATGACTATACATGTGAATTCTAGATATTTGGGAAATTATTATTTCAAGGCAATCTTGAAACAAAGTAAAAACATTCTTCACAATAATAGATTAAAACATGTGTAACTTTGGCTAAATAAATAAATATATATATATATATATATATATATTTATTTAATTGATATTTGGTACATGGATATATATATAAGCTTAAATGAATAAACAAGTTTTTTTATTTATTGATATATTAAATTTCCTTCAAGTAAAGCCTTAATGTAGTTAGAGAATAGAATGCAAACATTTCAAACTTAGAAGGAATCATCAACCCTTATTAATAGATGAGACACAATTGGAAGACTTTCTACAACAATGATAAATCCAATCTCTTAAAGGAAGAGTCAAAAGATGTAGTTTCAAATATGCCATATGCCACCCACATTGGCATGGATCACACAATAATATGATAGTAGTTTCTTTCTTCTTATCACATACAAAACAAGGAAAGCCATCTAGTACAACTTTAAGTTTAGGATGTTTATAATTATCAATAAGAAAATGGCAAGGAACTCAATTCTTTTAATATTCTTGACACTCTTATTCATCCTTGCCTTCAAGCAACAAAATACCACTAAGCAACACATCCTTAACATAAAGAATTATGCGCCTTGCCTTGACACCAAGTGTCATAGGTACTTCATATTCCAAATACACATAATCTCTCTGAAAAATTTAGGCAACTAAGATTAATAAGCTTTGCTCTATTGGAAGTATATCTTAAAATATCACAATGTTGAGCAATAGATAAGTTCTCTATGGCCATAGACATGGCCTTCTTCAAGAACTTTGTTTGATTATGTAGACATTCAACTCAAATGCTGAGGTCATCTAAGTCTACATTTAAAACTAACTTCTCATATCTTCAATTTAGTAGAATTGACTTCCAATTATACAACAAATCGTAAGGACTAAAAGATATCAAAGATGCTTGCTTAGTAAAGCAATAACCTATCACAATCTATAAGAAAATCAACTTACAATCATGATGGTTGCTATGAAGCCATCCATACTTTTGTAAACTGCGCTTGATGGTCTAAACAACCCGTTCAACTAAGCCATCCATTGTAGGATGATTTCTAAAGGTGGTCCAATCATCTATAAAAGCTTTAGTATACAAAGCTTCAAAAGCTCCAAACAACTTATTTTCTTATTTCTTTAGGATTTTTGTAGGCACTTCTAAATGTACAAACTTATAATTATGAAAAACTAGAGTTGCTAATTCTAAAGAATTTCGTAATATAGCCACAAGTTCAATCCATATTCTAAAATGCTACACCATTATTAATACATATTTAGTTCCACATGAAGTGACAACAAGCGGTCCAACAAAGTCCAAAGACCAATGGTAACTCAAATCTATGATGGATAAGGACATTGATTGAGGTTTGGTGATTATCTTTTAATTCAATGTGAACATGCTTGTCTCTATAGTCTTTAAGGTCTTTGAGACTAAAGGAAAAACTATTGCAATTTGAAAAAATAAAAGTCCATGTCTTTTGTGCTTAGTACCATTAAGATTTTGATTTCAATGATCAATTATTGAAGTCTATGGTTTTATTTTAATTTTAATTTTTCCAATGGAGCATCATTATATGCTGATACAACCTTTAATTGTTAATTTATAGAAGAGACAACTCATGTACTCCCAACATCCTCACTTGGAATCAAATGAGGAACTTTATAACTACAATTTATGTGTGAATTAGCAATATTAGTAGCACATAAAATATCTTATAGAAATATTCATGAGAGCATGTTTTAAGCATCTAATTTTATAAAATCTTTGGTTAAAGCAACAAAAATATATTGAGCTTATAGTTCAATTGTAGTATGCTACTTCAAGCAAAAAAATAATTCAAATACTTCAATTTTATTTAGCTTAGAGTCGATTGCCTTATTATCGTTGCTCTTTAATCTTCAAGTAAGCAAATGGTTCATATGATGTTTTTGTACAATAAGAAAATGCCAAAATATTCTAATATTCTAATCTTAGACTAAAGACAAAAAATAATCCACAACTTCTAATATCAAATGAAAATTTTTACAAAAAAAAGTAGTTTATTCTTTTTAAAATAGAAATGAGTGTTTAAAAATTAAATCATAGTTTAAAGGTGAGTAGTCCACAACTTTTATAAACACAACAATAATAGTGGAGTAATCCACTTACTTCTAAAACAAAACAAGAACAATGAATTAGCACTCTTATCAAAGTATTAAGGACATGAATGACAAATAAATGTATAATATATGGCCAACTTATTGTACAATATTGTCACAGATATATATATATATTATAATCTTTACCTAGATAATATGGATATGTAGAAGTAAGTAAAAGTAGATAAATTTCATAATACCTTCTAAAATAGCTTCTTAGAAGCTTCTTAGATGTTGTTTTGACTTTACATGTGTTTATAGTTGATTGATAGATTAGAAACTTGGTCAACAAGCTAATCACGTGCCACATGTGTTGGTAGCTTACAAATTAAGGTAACTATGTGACGCCCATATAGAAAACTTGCCTTATAAGTGTCACGGATACAAAATACAGACAAAAAATCTAACAAGAAGTTCAAGAAGAAGTGGCAGAACTAGATTAAACAGATGAGTACAAGAACAACACCAGAAGGGTGAGCTAGAACTCCAAGAGATGTGTTGTCGAGACTGAAGAACCTTTCAGCCTCGACTCCTATATATACTACTGAATAGGAAGCTTCTCGAGCTACTTCCGCTAACTAGGACGCTTCTCCAACAACTTCTACTAATTAGGAAGCTTCTCGAGCTACTTCCGCTAACTAGGACGCTTCTCCAACAACTTCTACTAATTAGGAAACTTCTCGAGCAACTTCCTAGAATCTATCAGAATATTCTAGAACCTTCTAAGAGAATCTTTAGGGAATATTCTAAGAATCTTCTAGAACCTTCTAAAAGAATCTTTAGAGAATCTTTAGAGAATATTCTAGAAGAATATTCGAAGAATCTTCCAATGTATGTCCATGACATCACCTCCTCTTCTAGCTTTGAGGTCTCCGAGAAGCAATGTTGTTATTAGTCAATACCAACGCAAGAAAATGAAAATCTGTCGCATCACATCCGCTATGAATTCCAATTGTTGTTCGCGAGGCAAATGATTCATCGGCCCTTGGAGCCAACGGTAGTGACCAACACCTTCAACCTCTGACCAAGCGTGGACTTCTATGTCTCCATTGTGAAACTGTCCTCCAAACACACCTTCTGGCTGACCGTCGTAGGCAGGCTCGACCTCAAATACAATTACTAGCGATCTGTTGCTCGGTATCCTTCGAGGTCGTCGTGGTGCAGGCGGTTCTTCATCTCGCGGTCGTCTTTGTGAGCTAGTCGCTTGAGATGACATAACAAGTGTAGTATCTTGACTATCCATGTCTAAAGGCTAAAATGATGAGAGCAAACTATAGTTGCTAACAAAGTTCTACACTATCGAACTATGGGTTTTGGAGGTGCCCTCTCCCCTTTTTATGCTACTTGATGAGCAAGCTTCAGCAAGAAGCTATCGTTGAATCGGCTTAGGTTTATGAGGATATCGTTGATGAAATTCTTGTACCTTTTTTGGTGCATTGGCAAGATTTTCGGCACGCTCCCACGTTCGTTCATTGATGTCGTATCCACTCCAATGCACTAAATACTCCAATTTTCTCCTATTACGCCGTGAATCTAGTACCTTTTCCACCTCGTATTCCTCATGGTTTTCAATTTCGATACTTGGTGGCGGACTTTGTACTCTTTGGGGAAAAGCTGACTCTCGATAAGGTTCCAACAAAGACACGTGAAAGACTGGATGTACCTTCATAGTAGCTGGTAACTCCAGACGATATGCCACCGGATTGATCTGCTTCCCGATAACAAATGGCCCTAATCTCCGATAGTCCAATTTGTCACATGGCCGCTTGGTCTTGATATTCCGTCGAAGAAGCCATACTTTACTTCCAACTTTAAAAGTAGGTGCCTCATTTCGATATTTATCTGCAGATGCCTTGTAACTCTCTTGGGCAGATTGCAATTGAAGCTTCAACGTCGCTTGAAGCTCCGATAGTTGCTTCACAAATCCTTCAGCTGCTGGGTTGTTATTTGCTGAAGAACTCAATAAATCGAGCTTGGGGTGGTATCCGTAGTTGGAGAAGAATGGTGTTTGTTGAGTTGACGCATGAAGAGTATTGTTGTATGCGAACTCAGCAAGCGGTAGATATGCAGTCCAATCATCTTGTTGATAGTTGATGCTGCATCGTAAATATTGCTCCAAAACTTGATTCACCCGCTCCGTTTGACCGTCAGTTTGAGGATGAAAAGCCGAAGAGAGCTTAATATCCACCTTCAATATCTCAAAGAGGGACCTCCAAAACTTGGATACAAACTGAGTACCTCGATCCGACACGATATCATCTGGTAGGCCATGATAACGATATATGTTATCAAGAAAGAGTCTTGCGGTGTCTTCACTTGACGATGTTTTCTTGCAAGGCACGAAATGCGCCATCTTTGTAAATCGATCCACCACAACAAAGATGCTGTCAAATGAATTCGATGGCGGTAGGTCCGTAATGAAGTCCATAGAAACTGAAGACCATAGTC